AAAAAAAAAAAAAAAAAAAAAAAAGAAATCCTATTCCGTAATTTGGGGTCAAATCCCACTATTCGATTAAAGTATACAAAAAATTGGCGTTGGGTGATATGGAGTAGCTGTCTTCCCTCTAGTCTATCACTTCAAAATTAGGGGCAGCTAACATGCATAGTCCTAGAGTAGATTTGCGCGAAATTCAATAAACAACTACTATACGTTAGTTTTAGCTTATAAGAATAAACGAAATTACAAACTACCGATATTGAATTTAAATAAAAAGTTTGTAATTTTAATGATTAATTAAAAAAATAACAATTTTTATAATTGTTTAGTCTGGAGGATTACGATTCACTGAGTTTTGGAAGACTTTGGGGTAATTACTTCAAACCTTAGTTGAAAAGTTATTTGCAGGAAGAGTATTTAGAACATTCGTCGATTTCAATTTTGCAGATTATACATAGATATACTACAAGCCTGTAATATCAGATTATACATAGATATACTACAAGCCTGTAATATCAGATTATACATAGATATACTACAGGCCTGTAATATCAGATTATACATCGATATACTACAGGCCTGTAATATCAGATTCTTATCTGGCTTGTAACAGCTAATGAAGTAAGAACTTATTTCTATGGCCCGATTGCATAATGTTATTAAATTCAAATTTGTTTTAAGATATTTAATGTACAATATTCGTTCGAAAAAACTAACAATTAAAACAAAGCCATGAAAAAATCTCCAAACGCAATTTCAGTATATGTAACTGTTCTCCTATTCTTGTTATTACTGTTATTATTTCTTACAAACAAGTTGCCTCTTTCAGAAAATGTTTACCACAGAAATATGAATTACTTATGTTTCCTAAATCAATTTAACCATCACAGAAACGTAACATTTGAGAAGACTGAAATGCTCTTATATTTCACCAGCTTCGTCGTTATAGATATCCAGTTTATAATAATATTAATAATGAAACGGTTATATATATATTGTGTTTAGTTCTTCATTTGACAAGTTTTTATACACTTTCCTTTGTGGTTTATATGCAGAGTCTTGTTGATTTTGTTTACTTTGCTATCATATTAACTCAGACTATAGGAAAGTACAACAGTTTAACAGTCCAAATTCGACGGAATTTTTGATAATTTTCCGCGTCTGAAATTTCATAAAATTGATAACATTTAGCTTATACTATTTCTTATGAGAAAGCTTTATTAAATATATTAGGCTATTATTTATTAATACTTACATGTGTTCAAGCCAGAGAAGTTATTTCATTTTTAAGTATTAAACACGCATCTAGTTGATTATAAACTGGAACAAATTCATAATACATAATGTTTTAAGGTGTAAAATATGATGACTGATGTGTGGTATTGCAACTTGGATCATACCTAGTTCTCGATTTCTATTTATTGTGTTAAGACATGTGTGTACTGTAATTTTTTGCTTGTTTCAATTTACTACAAAATTAAAGTGTATTGAAATAAATCCCAACTTAGAGGAATATTAAGTTATACAAAGATCAGATGTTACAAACAGTTTTGTTTTTGTTCAACTGCTGATAAGTACAAGTCATTTCAAAACACAATACATATAATGATATATATATATATATACATATATTACACCATTATATGAAGCCAAGACTTGTTTTTCAATTTGCCCTTTTCCAAATGAGGGGTAGAATTCCCCGAAACTTCAATAATGTAGTGATATGTGGTTAAACGAATCATAGATTGAATTTCACACTTATTTTTAGTATTTTTAATAACTTATCTGCTATATAATTCACAAAAATAAATTAGTAGTATCAATGCAAATATTCTTGAAATCATATATTACTACAGAATGACTGTGGTGAAATATATCTAAAAAATATATATCTATGTGTAACATACATTTTACCATTAAATAAAGCCTTGTCTTATTCTTACGAGTTTCACTTCTTAACAAACACATTATGCACATCCCTCTCCTATTAGAAGTTCATTCTTTTTGCTGAAGAGAAGAGAGGATATAGCTCTTTGCTGGTCGGCTACCTATTTTGAGGGACTAGAATGAAATGTTTTTTGTTTTTCGATTTGCCCGTGTCCGGGATTACTGATGAGGGGTGGAATTCCTCTTAAGCGGTATATCTCAGTGACAAGTAGTAAATCGAATGATACATTTAGTTTAGATAGTCATAGAAATAGATTCAAATATGGTACCTTTCTCTGAAGAACAACCATAGTAGTGACACGAAGTGTGCCTTTTTCTTCGGGTGTGTGTTACTCTTAGCTTCCGGCTAAAACTAATAGGCATTAAAAAGCTATGCATAAGGTCAACCATCTTCTTGATATTCAAACAGCAAATTGGTTTGTTAACTGAGGCTCTGAATAAAACTGAATTCATAACGTTTTTGTGGATACAGTATATTTCGTTCAGAGTTTAATGGATAACCAATCACCTGTAATATATTTATAGCATCCTTCTTTGTTGTAATATCATGATTTTCATTGGGAATCTTTGGTCGTGAGCTTTGGAGTATCCACCTGAAAAGCATGAACAGATTTGGTGGGACATATTATGAGAAATCAAATTTTTGGAATGTTTCTTTGAATTTTTATGGCTTGCTCTTTTATATTTCATGAAACAATACATTTATACAGTGTTTTTACTTATTTTACCTGATCTTTGTTTTGTACATCTCCTTTGATGACAACCTCCATTATGACCTTATCTCTGTTTTGGTCTTTGAAACAAAATTTCACATAAGGAATATTTTCAGTATCTTTTCTACTTAATTTCTTTTCAATCCCAACATGTCTTAATATACTATATTCCATCAGTATTTTGGTATGTATGCTCTATAGTGATAACATTGATAGGCCTATTTTGTAACAGATTTTTAAGTAATGTAAAAAGCTCCATAACAGTATGACAGTAGTTGTTCTGTGCTGCACCTTAAGTTTTATTATTGGTATAATTAGACTATTTTGTTTTTCTCATGAAATGTGCGACATGTTTCGTCCAACAATATTTCTGGTAGTTTACATCGATAAGTTCGGAATGAGAATGGTCAACAGCTCCTCTACTCTGTCTATCTACAGATAGCCCATTGTGTAGCTTTGTGCTTAATTACAAACAACAACAACAAAAACATTGACAAAGAAACAGCAGCGACAACAAGAACAAAACAAACAAACAAAAAACCAGTGGTTCTTATTGCATCCTATACATTATTACCGAATTCTAGTTTAGATTGTATCTGGTCGCTTCTCTACTTCAGGGATGCTTGGAGTAGTAGGAAGTCCTTTTTTTTTTCACTGAAGAACATCTTGACACTTAATTGTCTGTTCTAACCTTTTTTGAGTCCTTAGTAGATGACCTACATGTCATATTTTTTGACAACCTGATCTGCAAGACTTGTTTTCAATTTGGATATTATAAAATCATTTATTATTCAACCCAATATTACCGTATATATCTTATTTCTCTATTTTCTTCTTTCTGGTAACAAAGTAAATTATCTTTGCATGTTTGAGTACGACTCTTCCAACTTAGTGCAACTAATGTCTTCCGCTGTCTCACTCTTGCATAGGATCTCAAAGCAAAGCTTTTCATTAAACAAACTTATTTACTTGGAAGTTCCATTTTCTACCAATCTACTAATACATCTAGCTTTATTTATAAGTACCACCACCAAATTAATCTGAAAGTAAAAAATTGTAAACAGCAATAAATATATATATGTATATTTCTTTGCAAGTGATATAAAAATTCTTTGGTAAATGCATTTTGTATTTTGATTTCAATAACTTGATACTTATCTAGTTTTTAAATATTGGGAGGTTAGTTAGTTTTCCCATTAAATATTTAAACATTATAATTTATAGGTTCAGACTTGTTTGGAAGAACTTTTAAAATTCTCTGAAATTATACTTATGATATCATCCTCTTCAGATGAGCAAGAATTGACAATACAAGAGGAAAAAAGTACCTCAGTATCTAAACTTTCACCAACTATTTATCAAAAACGACTGTATCCAAGACTTGAAACATACGTTTAAGTTAGGTTACAAGTATTTCAATATTAAATACTTTTGGTAATATATATTAAATTATAAATAGTTGAAAACCCTATATTAAATGAAGTCTTGAAGTGCCATTCTTGTGGAGACATAGCAGATTTACGTGTGTTCAAGTCATAAAGTTTAACCTTGACCAGTGATTTTTATCTTCAAAATAAAAAAAATCTGTATAATAAAATTCAGTATCTTAGTGTCATGTAATTCCTTCTAAACCGATGGATACACAAACTTCTAACTTGTGCCAAACGAATCGCTCGACCCCGAGGTTTGCAAAAAAGGTAAAACTTTTTACTCAACTCCTTACGGAACTTAGATATTTCGCGAAAACACGTTAACAGGACTCCCCAAAAGCGGACCCCACACTTACATTAGAGCACGTAAATAAGTAGGCCTACTAATTACCAATCGTAACTTGGTTAAATAAATTAAACTTGCATTATAGCAGCAATGATCATTAAGCTGAAAAGTACAAAATAGTCGTTCTAGCAATAAATGTTTATTATAGCGACCTTGTAAATGTGGGCCATAGACCTACGGGTTCGCTAGAGAAACTAAAGGTTTTTGATTTCCTCATGGCTTAAACTTTAAAAACTTTACTATGGAATATAACTGATTGTGGACTATTAGCAAAATGATACGTTACTGAATTATAGAAAGTTAGATATTTTCTTAAACACAAAAAACAACTTCTAGCGAAATAAAATTCAACATAAAAAAATTTGGAATGGAAATGTTAAATAAAAATTTACCAATCGAATGCTCCGGTATTTAAAGTAAATATAGAAGTTCAAACATAAAACGTGGACAAACATTGTTGAATTTTCGCACAAAGATACTTGAGGGCTATCTGAATTCACCGTCTCTAATTATTGATGTGACAGCCTAGAGGAAAAGTAACTAATCAACACCGCCAACGAACAGTGGGATCGATCGTTACCTTATAACGCAACTGGCACAATGCAAGACGAACGCTTTTACCATCGAACCATGCCAAGCTCTGTGGAAAAATCTTCACTGAGAAATATTTAAAAAACAATATTATTATATACACCTGGAAAAAAGTTAAGCACCCCCAAATATTTTTCAGGATTGCTTATTGAAAATAAGGTTTAATTTTCACGATGTTGAGCAATGTTCATAATTTCAAACATAATTAAAAGGGTGTGAGCG